ACGAGCTAATACTCAGCCTGAACTCAGCAGTGCTGTTCCCTTGGGAGACACACACACAAACACACGGACACACACACACACACACACACACACACACACACACGAGTTGATGGTTTTGTGCCTCCCCGCCAAAACACATACACATTGGCGGTTGTGCCGCCCGAGCCTCCAGTCTGCCAGTGTGAGGAACGGACCAGATGGGTCCACTAGTGTTGAGTCAAGGCAAGGAGAGGGCAGCCGGAAGCGCGCCCATGCTCTGGACTCCTGTACCCGCCGAAATGGGTGCTCACTGGGCGCGCGGGAGTGACGGGTGGGGGGTGAGGGGTGAGGGGTGAGGGGTGAGGGATGAGAGGGAGGGGGACGGGGTGGAGCAGCCCCTTCCCAGGCCGCAGCGGGGGCGGTGGTGCTGTTGCCCTTTTAAGCCGCCGCTTCACAGGAGCCCCGCCTCCTGTGGGTGGAGTCGGTTACAAGGGGAGCAGCCGCCCAGGGGCCGCCCCACAGCTCCCTGCAGAGGCCTCGGTGTCCCTTGCGGTTTCCCTGCGGTGCTCCGACTAGAGTCAAGGCAGCGGGAAGAGGCGGAGCCGCGAGAGCGCAGCGGAGCGGCCCCACCGGGTGGTTGCGGCCATAATAGCGGCTCCTCACCGGCTCACCTTCCGCGCCCCTGCCGCGGGAGATGAGGGTAAGATGTCCGCGTCTGTGTGTCCGTGTCCGTGTCAGCGCCCAGCGGCGGCCCCAAGGGGCAAGGTGAGGGTGGAGAGGAGGCTCCGGAAGTACCCGGACAAAGGGGAGCCTGCCCGGGAGAGGCCCTGGTTCCCCGGGCGGGGCCAACGCGCCCCTTACTCCTGTGACTAGCCCGTCCCGATAGCCAGGACTGCCGGAGGCTTGGGTGGGAGGAGGCGGAGGGCGCGTCTCTCTTTCTCCTTGCGGGGGGCTGGCTTGGGGGCTGCTGGCACCTCTCGCCCTCGTCCCCGAGCCCCGAGCTGGTAGCCCGCGTCGCCCGCAGCCCTTTCGGGGACCATGATCGCGCTCAGTCAGCCGGCCTGCTCTCCAGAACCGCGAGGGGGCGTGGCAGGGCGGCTCCAGCTGATGTTTGAGCCCAGGCGGGCAAAAGGGAAAGGCCTTTAAGATTTTCTGTTTTTGACAGGGCGCAGTGGCTCTTTCCTGTAATCCTAGCACTTTGGGAGGCTGAGGGGGGTGGATCACCTGAGGTCAGGAGTTCTAGACCAGCCTGGCCAACATGGTAAAACCCTGTCTCTACTAAAAATACAAAAGTTAGCTGGGCATGATGGCAGGCGCTTGTTGAGATGGAGTCTCACTCTGTCGCCCAGGCTGCAGTGCAGTGGGGCGATCTCGGCTTACTGCCACCTCGTTCTCTTGACAATCCATGGGTTCAAGTGATTCTCCTGCCTCAGCCTCCCGAGTAGCTGGGATTACAGGCGCCCGCCGCCATGCGTGGCTAACTTTTGTGTTGTTTAGTAGAGATGGAGTTTCACCTTGTTGGCCAGGCTGGTCTGGAACTCTTGACCTCAAATGACCCACCTCTGCCTCCCAAAGTTGTGTGATTACAGACCTGAGCAACCTCACGCGGACCCAAGGCCCTTAAGTGTAAAGG